ACACCCCTTATTTTCTGGCATCTGACTTTTATTCTCTTCTCCTTCTTCAGATTGTTTTCTTGAGCTGGGGTTGCAGCCACTTTTCTAAAAGGTCTGGATGTGGTTTGTAGGGGAGAAGACTGTTTCTACCTATTTTTTTTTTTTTTTTTTTTTTAGTCCAGTAGAATTTCTTAACCTTTGCTTTCTTTTTTCTTTTCTTTTTTTTATTGTTGGGGAATCATTGAGCCAGGTTACACTGCTTGCCTTTGCTGGGTGAAGTCTCCTTGCATTCTTTTTTTCTTTCCACTCACACATCCATATACCACTGGATCCAGTCCTGACCCTCCTTAACTTTAATGACCATTCACTTTTAAGGATCCTCCTTAACTTTGATGACCATTCACTTTTTGATTTTTCTCTTATGATCCCATTTTATTGGAATTATTTCTATTCAAATGCTCTCCATGAGGCCAAGTTTTCTTCAAGCTTCTTTATATTTTCAAGCACGTAAATTAGCTAGATAGCATTCCACACATTCGGAGCTTATATTTGCTTCTGACAAGAAGACAAAGTTAGCTTTGTCTCTGTTTGTCATTGAACCCCCAAGCATTTGCATTTAGATAAGTCCCAGAGCCATGAAGTCTCATGAATTTTGGTTGGTACTGAGATACCAAGTTATATATTATCCTATATGGCCTTGTGTTGTGGGAAAATCCTGGGATGGCGTAGAAAAACTGCCCTCTGAACGGAGATGGAGCCAAGAGACCAAAGACATGATCCAGACCAATCAAGTTTGCTGTGTTAGACGGTTTCTGAGAGATTACTCACCCAGGGCTCTCATTCCCAGTCAGGGTGGGGATCCTCCAGCCCAGTATTTTTCAACCTTTCTTATCTCACTGCACACTTGACCCCATGGTTAAACTTTCATGGCACACTTAAAGTATTTTGATCAAAAAAAAAAAAAAAGTAAAAAAAATACACTTACTGTGCTTTGAATGTCTTTTGAAAATAATTTATTTAATGTCTTTAAAACTTTTTGTGACACCCTAGATCCTGTCACGGCAGCAGCAGGAGTTTTTCAGAGAGTAAAATCTGCACTGCCTACCTGTTTGTGAAGCCTTAAATTCCTTTCCTTTTTTTTGAGACAGAGTCTCACTCTGTTGACCTAGAGTGCCGTGCTATAATCATAGCTTACAACAACCTCAATCTCTTGGCTCCAGAGATCCTCCTGCTGCAGCCTCCCAGGTAGCTGAGGCTATAAGTGCTCACTACGACCACATCTAGTGTTTCTATTTTTAGTAGAGACGGGATGTAGCCCTTGCTCAGGCTGGTCTTGAATTCCTGACTTCAAGCAATCCACCCTTCTAGGCCTCCCAGAGTGCTAGGATTATAAGCCTGAGCCTCCGTGCCCAGCCTTAAATTTCTTTCTGGAAAGAAATACAGAGCTCTCTCTGTATATTTATATACCCCACCAGGTAAGCCTGTGCAGGGCTTCCCATTAGGCTGGACTTTAATTACAATTAACTGAAGGGTACAAAGGCAACTAAGGAAGGTTAAAACGGTTCAGACTGGTCTTAAGACTCCTGACCAGCTACACAAAAGGAACTGCTTAAGAATACCCTTTGTGCTTTGTATTTCTTTCAGCCCTTTTGTTTTGATCTATATCTTTAAGTTCAAAAGAAAGCAGCTTGAGTTCTGTTAAACATTAAAGGCCAGTGGTAGGGAACTTGGATTCTCCCTGGTCTCCTTTCCTTTATTGTCTATTAGAGTGAAGACCGTGGCCTTGCAGGTCAGATAGACCTTTATGATACGAGCAAGTTATTAAAACTTAGTTTCCTTGTCCGCAAAATAGGGGTAACAATTCCTAAGGCATAGAATTGCTATGAAGATTAAATAAGAATTTAATTAATCTTGAGTTAATGAGTGTGGGTTGAATGTTGACTACATAGTAAATGTCAGTAAGTGTTGTGTGTGCCTCTATTGTTGGGATTACTGTTGCTAGATTGTAAACTTTCTGAAATTGGAAATCGTGCGTATCTCAAACTTCATTAAGCAATTAGTATTTAACACAATTCCATTGCTATTCATTGTAGGAACCAAGGCCTCTTGACCTCCTAAAAGTCTCACTGAAAAATCACTGACATTGAGGCATATTGGTGTACAGGAGAAAGGCACACAATTTTATTTAAGGTATATACCTGGGAGCCTTTGAGAGCACCTGGAGTGAGAACAAGATGGGGTCAGTCAGGCTGGGGCTGAGACCACACAGCTGGTCTGGCTGGTTGAGGTCCTATGTGACCTTCACCTCACATCTTCCATCCTTCTTGTTTGTAAATTTTGATTTAACCTAAAAGTATATATCTTAAATGCTTTAAGAAAATTGATTTAGGAGATTAACTTTTGAATTAGAATGTTGTTTTATGGATCATGGGTATGTCAATTATTGTTTATTATTGGTCGTGGATTATGGATTATGGTGATTACTGTTTAAGATATGTGTTAATCACTGTCATTTAAGATAAGTGCTAGTACAGTTCTTGCTTTTAACTTTTATGCATAAAACTGTGATTTTGAAAATAGAACAGAATGGTCTTGGAGAGGCTACTCTCACTGTTCTCCAGAACCACTGGCCTTCTGACAAATTTTGGTGGACCTGTCCCTGTCCCTGCATATTGGCTGACAGTGACAGGCATTGGGACCCTCTTCGTTGGGTAACACCTTCAGAACGAAGACCCAAAGATGCAGGGGAAATTGTTCTGATGCTGAGGTTCACAAAAGAGTGTGGGCACCGTGTAGAAATATGATTGGATAAAAAGGGTATGATCTGATGTCATAGACTGAGCTGGGAAACCCAGCAAGACCTTTCTAGATCTTTCTTGTTGCCTCTGAACATGATTTTTCTCCCCTGTGAATGTGGGGCAGGACCCTCACTGGACTGGGGGTGTTATGACCCATAGTCAAACAAAGGAGGGCAGATAATTTCTTCATGACCAGTTTTTACATGGAATAATTTCAGGTTTTATGACTAGCTTTCTGGAAAAGGAGCTTTGGTTTTTGTGATCCATCTTGGCTAACCTCATGGAAGAACAAGACTGAGAGGCAGGGGGCCAGGAGACGTTCAGGAAATCTTTGGTTTGTGAAGCCTCCATCTTGGGGTACTGTTTTCTGAGCCCCGACATCATTGACATAATAGTTATGTCTAATGATAAGAAAGCCAGAAAAAGAAACATGCTGAAATGAAGATTATTAGATTTGATTTTAGTTTCATGTTATGCTGTATTTCCTTTAAATTCATAAGTTGCACTTAAACATTTTTCTCCTTATCTGACTTTAACATTTTTCTTTAAAGATTTTACTCATTTTTGAAACTTTATTATGTCTTTTTTTTAAAATTTTGAAATTCAAATTCCACCAGTAGTTTTAAGCATCACCTGTGCTAGGCTTCATGCTAGGTGCTTGAATGTTCCGACCTGTTATCTCTCTTTCATAAAGGGATGAAGCAAGGCTCAGAGAATCCAGGTGCATGGCCCCAGATCATACAATTAGTGAGTAGCAGCTGCAGGAGTGACAAATAAGACTTAATGATAACCAGTGAGAAAGAACTTTAGCCACAATATGGCTGAGTAGGTCAGAAGTACAGAGAGAATTGGGGTTTTTCCTTCAAAAAAGGGTGGGAGGGGAGCCAGGGAAATGTTGGGTTTCAAGGCAGCTATTTGTCTCCTAAAATTTGGGGGTTTCGAGTAGCTGCCTGTGTCCTCAGTTCTTGGGAAGCTTGGCCGGAGAATGACCAGACACCCCAAAGTGAGGCAAGCATGAAAAAAAGTTTATTGAGGAAGAGAAGGGCAGGTTTATAGAGTAAGAATGTTTGCAGAATGAGATACGCTCATATAGATGGTGAAAAGGCTGCGACAAAGACAGGTTTTGATTATGGCTGGGAGTTCTGCTTTGCATTGTTTGGGTTGGGCCGACCTAGTGATTAAAGGGTCACCCTGGAACTGGAGTCTGACTGTGCGTGTGGACCTTCCACAAGCCTCTCTGAAAGCACCGGACTCTGTGTGTGTGTGAACTGCAGTGTACATTTAAGCAAATGACATGGTAATTAGAGTTCAGGCTGTTCCAGGTTGCCTTCAGACTCTACGGTGCCTGTGGTTAGGCCCACAGGCTGGAGTGTCTTCTACATACTTTTACAGTTGGCATGATAAATTCTGATTAGTAGGTGGTCCCTCCTCCCCGGGTATGACGAATCACTTGAGACAAGATTAAGGTGAGATGGGGCGTGGTCCCCCTTGTCCTCTTTCCCTGGGAGAGCCAGATTTCTAGCTATCTACCTAACAAATATTGCAAAAAAGATGAAATTTGGCTCGACGCCTGTGGCTCCAGGGTCTAGCCGGGGTCCTCAAACATTTTAAACAGAGGGCCAGTTCACTGTCCCGCAGACCGTTGGAGGGCTACACTGCAGGCCCCGGGATGAGTCAGCTGCTAAGCAGGACAGGCAGCGGCGGCAAAAACACTCGGAGGGCCGGGTAAATGTCCTCAGCAGGTGCATGTGGCCCACGGGCCATAGTTGGAGGATGCCTAAAGGCACCAGCCACATACACCTGAGCTAGCGGGTTCAAATCCAGCCGGGGCCCACCAAACAACAATGATGGCCGCAACCAAAAAATAGCTGGACGTTGTGGCGGGCACCTGTAGTCCCAGCTACTTGGGAGGCTGAGGCAAGAGAATTACTTGAGCCTAGGAGTTGGGGGTTGCTGTGAGCTGTGATGCCACAGCACTCTACCCAGGGTGATAGCTTGAGGCTCTGTCTCAAAAAAATAAATAATAATAAAAAAAAGATGAAATTTAATCTATGGGATGGCCAGCTAATCTGTAAATAATTAGAGTTGACTAATCTGGAAACAATATTTTCCCCATGAGAATAATTTTCTCATGTTAATTACATCTAATGGTTTGTGTTTATGGCATGTAAATACAAAATAGATAAATTACCACTAATTAAAAGATAAAATGGTAAACATGGGAGAAACGTGTTTTATTTTATGATATGTAGATTATATCATATATAAAGAATGACTCCAGTGGAACAAGACCAATTATCAATGTTTTCAAGGATAGTACCCTTTGTGTACTTTACCATATTTAGACACACTTTTCGTAAGATAAAATTAATCCTTGAAATGCTCTATAAATATGCTGATTCTGGGTACAAATGAATCCTCCACTTCTAAAGGCTTGGGATGCACTCCGGTTTATGTCTCCAATGCATGTCCAGGGATTCTTGGTGCCCTTTTGGGAAATACACCACTTGGAATGATCCTGAGAAGAGGTGAAATAAGCCTTTTGAGACAACTTAATCGCTTTGATATTATAGACATGGTAAGGGAGGGAGCAGTTTGAAGGAAGCTCTTGTCCTGTACGTTGCCAGGTTTCAGCTAGCAAGTGTGTCTTCAGCTGTGGAGCCATCCAGGCTGCAAAGATATCTAGAGTGTAGAAGGAGAAAGATAGAGAGGTTGGTGTTCGCCTTTAGGTGAGTCCCTGAAAATGTCCTCCGGAGTGGAAATCCTCATTCACCCTGATATGTGGAAGTTACAAGTACAATAAAACCACATTGTGGTTCAGCACCTGTAGCACAGTGGTTACCGTGCTAGTGACATACACGGAGGCTGGCGGGTTCAAGCCCAGCCAGGGCCGGCTAAACAATAATGGCAACTGCGACAAAAAATAGCCGGGCACTGTGGCAAGAGAATCACTTGAACCCACGAATTGGAGGTTGCTGTGAGCTGTGATGCCAGGGCACTCTACTGAGGGCAACAAAGTGAGACTCTGTCTCTATAAATAGATAAATAAATAAATACAATAAAACCACATAATGGAGATAGTGGGTGAGAAAGTCTTTTGTACATGCTAAAGTGACCTGCAAACAAACGTTATCCCATTACTATGGTAATGTGGGCTCCTGCACTGCACACATCTGTTCCATACAACTGAGGGAGCAATATATATTTCTATCCTTAAAAGACCTTTGGAAAGAAAAGGACTGGAGAAGTGAGGCTGGGCCAGGTTCTAGGGATCTATGTGAGCCATGCTAAAGTGTTCGGATTTTCCCCCAATCAGTGGGGAATTTGTAAAGGAATGTTAGTAGAAAATTGGTAGAAAGTGGTTTATGATCATAAATGTCAATTGAGAGGCAACGTGCAGGATAAATTGGGAAGGACGAGTTAGAAAGGAGACAGGCAAAACGTAGGATTGTTGCAGTAACTGTAACAATATGCAAAGGTGTGTGAGGGGACAGAGTTGAGATAAAGGTGTTACAAGGATCAGAGCTCAGGGGATTGGACGGTGTAAAAGAGGGGTGAGAGGAGATCCGGAAAACCTGGGGGACCTGCAGTAAGGGAAGAGACAAAAGTTTCTGGCGGATGATGATGAGGTGAGTTTGGCATCTTGAATTTGGTGTGGCTGTACCACCTCTGAGCAGAAGTGGAACAGTGACACTGTGGTGCACTGACACATCTGCCAGTGCAGAGATCCAGACTTGGGAATCGCCTGAGGGCTAACTGGAATCCCCCACGTGGGTCCCTGAGGGGACCACCTGGCAACCCAGACACCTGAGAGCTGCAGAGGAGGAAGACCTGGCAGAGGAAGCTTAAAAGAAGCCTTAGAGGAAGACCAAGAGCTGATACTCCCAACAGCCAGCCTAGGGAGGGTTTCAGAAAGGAAAGGGTTTCCACAGATTCTGCTGTTTCTATCTTGTTGCCTTTGGAGTTTCTAGAGCCTAACAGGGCTTTGCTAGTAGTAGGCATGCAGTGAACTGTATTCAATGTGCAAGAAAGGAAGGAAGCAAACAGGTGGGGGAGACAGAGAAGTGATCTGAAACAGCCGCTGGTGACTGGGGGCAGCGTTTAGAGTGTCCACAGGCAGGAGCAGGACTGCGGTGAGGGAGCCCTGAGCAAGTGAGGACCCCGAGGAGTCTCAAAAAAAGACATCTGGAAGAAGAAGAGGAGCAAACAGAGCTACAGAGGATTCAGAATCGAGGCTGGGTTTTAGGCGTGTTTGTGTGCTGTGCAGAAGGAGGCTGGAGAAGGGGAGAGTGGACGCAGAAGAGGGGGCCCGGATGGAGGGGACAGACCAAGTATTCAGAGGGTGGATAGGTGCAGAGCACAGGGGGGGCAGCCCTTCTTCAGGGATGGAAAAACACCTTGTAAAAAGGAATGAAAACAGGTGAGACTGTTGGGGGGGGGGAGGATGCAGTACTGGGGGGGTTTCTCCCAGGCGATTTGGGGAAAGGAAAGCTATGAGTGAGGCGGTGGGGTAGGGTAGAGCAGGAGTCACCAGCCTTTTTGGCACCAGGGAGGTTTCATGGAAGACAATTTTTCTATGGACTGGAGTGGGGAATGATTCAAGTGCATTACGTCTCCGCCCCAGATCAGCAGGCATTAGATTCTCATAAGGAGTGTGCAGCCTGGATCCCCCACGTGCAGGGTTACAAGAGGGTTCCCACTCCCCTGAGAACCTAGCGTCACCACTGGTCTGACAGGAGGCAGAGCTCATTGGCGATGCTAGCAACGGGGAGTGGCTGTAAACCCAGATGAAATTTTCCTTGCTCGCCCCACCACTCACCTCCTCCTGTGCAGCCTGGGTCCTAACAGGCCATGAGCTGGTACTGGTCCATAGCCTGGGAGTTGGGGACTCCAGGTGAAAAGGACTTTAGAGTAAGAAAGGGTTAAAATAACTGCTTAGGGAATGGAAGAAGAGGAAAGGGCTGTAGCCCCATGTCCCGTGGAGGCTGGGGACTGAGTTTTCACCGGCCCCTAGTTGAGCAGTTGTGAGATACTTGTGTGGCTGGATCAGCAACCATGCTGTTCAAGAGAAACTGGCAGAGTCTGAATTGGTCCCTGACTTCCCTTTCCTTCCTCTCACTTCCCTTCCTTTCTATTTCTCTTCTCTTGAATAGTCAGATTATCTCCTCTAAGCAACACACAGTGAAGCCGACAGTAGAGGTATATACCATATTGTTTGATAATAGTCTTTCATACCATCAAGAAAAGAGTTAGGTTTTGCAAAATGGAGGAAATTTTGTCCCTGGGCTGACTGAAGTTTGGTGACATGCCTGCCAGGGATCTCCGAGGAGCTGGATTTGCTGCACAACTGGGACATGTGGATGAACGTCTGGTGAAAGGTGGCTGGGATGGCACAGCTGTAGACGTTTGGGTTGCAGACCAAGAGCTGAGAATCTGAATCAAGAAACATCAAACAAAACAATTTAAGATGCAAATGAAAATGCCTATTGACATTATAAATCTTGTGGATTAAAAAACAAAACAAGGGCAAGTTGGGTGGCTGATGTCAGTAATCCTAGCTCTTTGGGAGGCCAAAGCAAGAGGGTTGCTTGAGGCCAAGAGTTTGAGTTGCCAAGGCAACACAACAAGACCCGATCTCTACTAAAAATAAAAAATTAGCTGGGCACAGCAGCATGTGTCTGCACTCCCAGCTAGTTGGGAGGCTGGGGCAGGAGGATTGCTTGAACCCAGGAGGTCGAGGTTGCTGTGAGCTCTGTTTGTGCCATGGCTCTCTAGCCTGGGAAACATAGTGAGACTCTGTCTCAAAAGACAAAACAAACAAAACATGAACTAAATAAACAAACAAATGAAACAAAAACAAAACCATTCCCTTCTGTAAACCAAAGCCTTCCACATGCCTTTTGGTTAAAATAACTGAGATCCCTGGAGCACTTCCTCCTTTTCAGACACTGTTCTCTAAGTTTTATGTGAGTTTACTCATTTCATCCCCACAGCAATCTTATTATTAGGTAAGTTCTATTGTTAAGATTATCCTCATTTTATAAATATAAAGGAATTCCCTGAGAACTTATGTCATATGCCCAAGCTTTTAAAACATATAACTGAGCAAATTGATATTCAACCAGGCAATCAGGTATTGGAGGCCATATGCTTTTTCTCCTAAATGTGCATATACAAAATCAGAGAACTCTGTGCACTGATCATCCAGCTTCAAGAATAATCAGCCCAATCTCTATTACATTTAGCTCTCTAATTATTATGTGAATTTAGCTGGTATACTAGAACTTGACTTGGGTAAGAAGCTCCGATGTCGTAAGATAGAAATTTGGTGAGAAACATTTTCTGAACCTCTTGTATCTAGCAATGTTTTTCAACCTGTTTTATCTTACGGCACTCTTGAGCCTATAGTTAAAATTCTGTGGCATACTTCAATTATGTTGATTTTAAAAAAAGAGTACAAAAAAAGGAAATACTTACTGTGCTTTGAACTTCTTTTCAAAATAATGTAGTTAATGATCTTTGTAAATTTTCACGGCATAACTAAGATCCTCTCACAGCACACTGGCGGAAAACCACTGATCTAGAAACAAGTCACTCTTTCTTGCTAGTTAGCAACCAACGTGCTTAGTCAAAAGTGGCACAGCACTGTTCCCACTTCTCCCCTGCCCCGTAGTTCTCCAAATCTAAGTATTTTTTCACTATTTGAGCTTGAAATCTTTAAGAAAGATTATCTAGCTCAGAGGTGTCATGGAGGCAGCTTACAGGCAACATGTGGTCTGCAAAATTTTTTAAAAATTGAGATTGAGCCTATCTTCAAAAATCAGGAGTTCTCTCTTTCTTTTCTTTCTCTCTCTTCCCCCCCCCCCCAACACACACAACATACCCCCCAGGTTTCTGGTTCCTCATGAAAAATAGGGAGACCTGTAATCATTACATCTACATTCCAATAGAGCCATAGAACTATGGATCTGAGGCCTTTGAAGTAATCTATGGGGGAGTCAACACCCCAATTCATCAGTATCCCCACTTCTTATGTAATATCTGTCTGTTTCACTCATGTTTGTTACCGACCTGGGCCTTTAGGTCTTGCCTCAGTCAAGTTTAACAACTTCATTGGTAGACCAGGAACCCAAGCCCAGCTAATGATAGAATCTAGGTATCAGAGGGCCCATGGAGCGCTTAAAAAATGGAGTGATACGTTCATGAATGCATTCCTGAATTCCCTTCTCCAACACTGCTTCTCTCTTGTCTTCCCCCATAAAGTTTACCTATGGCTTCATACTGGTTGTACTTGAAAGTTATGCAGATGCCACTTTGTCCGTTTCGTCTCCCTGTGGGTGGATAATCATAGCCTTCTCCAGGAATCGGAGGAAACAGGGGAATAGAATGAATCAGCCAGAACCCCTGGACTCTGTTCCACAGCAATACACCTACCAAAGACACAGGTAATACAGACAAATCAGGAAAACACAGCTCCTTTTAAAATAAGGTTCAAAGCTACGGCATTTAAGCCCATTTATGCTTTAGGCCAGTGGTTCTCTACCTTCCTAATGCTGTGGCCCTTTAAGACAGTTCCTGTGGGTTGCGACCCACAGGTTGAGAACCTCTCCTTTAGGCTAATGTCTTTTTTTTTTTTTAGAGATAGAGTCTCACTTTGTCACCCTCGGTAGAGTGCCGTGGCATCACTGCCCACAGCGACTTCCTGGGCTTAGGTGACTCTCTTGCCTCAGCCTCCCGAGTAGCTGGGACTACAGGTGCCTGCCACAACACCTGGCTACTTTTTTGTTGCAATTTGGCCGGGGCTGGGTTTGAACCACCCTCAGTATATGGGGCCGGTGCCCTACCCACTGAGCCACAGGTACTGCCCCCTAGGCTAATGTCTTATTAGGGCTATTAATCCCAAGAATCATGCTCATTTTTCAAAGGTTTCAAAGACAATTGTGGCACACATTACATTACCCTGAAGCTGGGAATAAGCCACCACACACAGGTAGCCCAGGCAGCCATCCTGGGAAGAGTTCAGAAGGATCTCATGTTGAAACCACAAGGAAAATTTGTTTTGGCAGAATGCAGATTTGCTAAATTGGAATTTGACCTTGTTAAACTGTACAGATACCTGGCAAAATTCAGACAATGTCTTCACTGCTGAGCAGCTAAGCTATTTTCAAAAGCTGGCTAAAAAACAGTTGAAAGAGAAAATACCAGATGAAGGATGTACTTGCAAGAATTTTTTGTAAGAAGCGATTGCTCCTTCATTGACAGCAGTCCCCCAATTCTACAAGCCTCAAAAAAGAGGCAAAGAGAAAAAAAGAAGCCTTGCTAAAGTTAGTTAACTATGTTTAGTAGAACTTTCTAGAGCAAAATGACATGAAAGCCAGGAAGGAAGAAGATAGATTTTTATCATCTTGTTATTTCTGTGTTTCCAGATATCTCAGGTAGGTTCGGTATGGTAGCTAGACTTTCCAGTTAGCATTTGACCATGTAAGTATCACATTTATTCATGTTTGCCTTACTGTTAAAGTGGAAACCAAATGCCTGCCAGTTATTTCTTTTTTTCAAAGAGCACATCTTAAGAAAACATTCTGTTGCTCTTTTAGTGGAAAAATAATCAATACTTGTGTCATGGTGGAAAATATTGAAAGTTCTGTTGCCCAATAGAGCTGGATGACCTTCAAGAGGTCTTCTCTGCCCGGATGAATGTGCTGTTTTGCTGGAATCCTCACCTCCTGGCACAAATGCTAGACGATGGTGGGGCATCATCTGTTGGCAAAGAGAACCCCTCCACTTGACATTGGGCCTTACTTTCTCTCTGAACCCTTGCAGCAACTAACAGATAAAACAGGAATGATGGGAGGTTCTTGGAGAGATTGAGAATGTGGTATGTTATAAAAATTGTTGGGTTTCTTGTAAGTATGGCCATCAGGAGAACAACTTGGCTAAATAAACAGCTTTTGATGCTCATGTCTTTTGATGGTTATACAAATTATATTCTCCATCACAGGCTGCAGACTGGCAGCCCGTACCAAATCCGGCCTCTAGATAACATTTTGTTAGGCTCACAGACTATTTCTTTTAATATGTTGGACTAATTGCCAACATTTAAAAGCTGAGACTTTCCACCAACACTAATCTTCAACATCTCCTGAAAAATTGTATCCACATCAGGAAAACTGAATAGAAATTGTCCCTTACAAACCAAGTTCCAGTTCAGACCACTTCGCTGCTGCCATCACTTGCTTGCTCCCTGAAGCCATTTGAGTTTGAAATCTTTTGAAGAATATATGTTGCCATGGAAAGTTATTCATAATATATTAAATCAAGAAAAGGTTGAAAAAATAGTCATTACAATACCTTTCTTAAAATGTTTTAAAATACATATTTTAGAAAAAGTGAAAAGGATTCAGTGTGGTTATCTAATGGGCATCAGGAGTACATATTTTACGTTTACTTGCACTTTGAATTTTGCTACAATGCACAGACATACATGCACAGAAAGATTATAAAACTGGGGACAATAAAAATTACCATATATAATCGCAATGCATAATAGCAATATATAACAAAATATATAGTAATAAAACTATGATAATAGAAAAACAATTTAAAAATACTGGTTCAAAAATGTTTATTTCAAGGGGAAGTGTACAGTTAGAAGAGTTAATTTTACTCTATGTAAATTATGCCTTAGTAAATCTGACTAAAGTGTGCATGTCTACATATACTACACACATCATACATATATACACATCTATACAGATACACTTACATATACATAGGCTCTCTGGTGTGTGTGTGTAAGTGTGTGTACATGTGTGTATACATGTATATATACTATCTGATTTTCCCAGTAGTCAGTACTCGGATTTCTGCTCTAAAATGCAGATTTAGAAATATATTAAGAAATGAAATAGGATTTCATCAAATCAAATTATAGAATTAATTATATTATAATCTGTGATATTGACATACATTTCAGTAATCCAAAATGAACCACTAGAAAGAAAAGCTACCTTTTTAATATGGAATATAAGAACGTTCCAGATGAAATGTTTAAGACGCTGTTGATTTCCAATAGGAAGGCGAAACCAAGAGCCTTTATCATACCTTTGGTGTGTCCATACTTGGAGCCGTAATTCATGGATTTAGGGACGCCATCATTGTACATTAGGTAGGCTGTGTTGTTACTCTGCAGGAATACATTAGGGTTATAATGGTGTAAATCTTCTACGCACAAATGCTCACATTTCTACCATCCACTCAGCCTGCAATACAGAGCTTTCATTAATACACATGAGGAGTCATCCAGGCCCCTAATAGGTGTCTTCCCCATCTGTATGAATTCAGTGACATGCCAGACAGGAGAAAGGGAGCCTGTTCTCAACCATGCACGACTTTGACTCATGTAAAAGCAGCCCCCTGCATTGTGCTCTCTGTGTGACAGCCATGTCCCTACTTCTCTTGGTTATTTTGGAACCAGGTTTCTGATTACAATAAAGAAATACTGAATTATTTGTTCAGGAAATGAAGTAGGAACAAGCAGCCAAGGATTACAACTGGGCTGCTTTCTGTTGCTAGCGCAGGCACACGGGTGCAGAACCCGCTGTCAGGATCTGATTCCCTCTGCCTGCTTTGTGCTTCACTCCCCTGCTTCATCGTAGCTTTGTGTTTAATCAGGATTCCTCGTTATCTGCTCCCCTTTCCTCCCTGGTATGGGAGGATTTTTCTGCAATCCACTTCTCAGTGTCACTTCACCTGATATTTCCCTGCTTAGAAAAAGTGGTGCCATGTAAGGTGCAAAACCGGATTCCCTCTGGTAAGGCAGCATGAGAGTCAGTTGTCCAAACAGCCGAATCTCTGAAAGTCTGTTTGTCGTGTTTTGGAAACTTGCTAATATTTGTTCTGGGTGGTTCCATTTCATTTATGTTATAATGCAATGGCTTTTATTGGAGACAGAATGTTCATATTTTTTAAAAAAACCTCAGCAACATAATTAAAAGCAGGAAAGGACAATTGTTTTCATTTTCTTTCAGGAAAGAAAGCCTCTAACAGAGCCTCTCACAGTTGCTTAATTATTTGGTGTAATCAAAAACACTAAAAATGCACAATTTACTCTGAGTAGCATTCTTGGCTGTCGTGTTTAGGAATATGCAGGAAAGGAAGCTGTTTTCTTTACCTCTATTTTCCATAATTGAGCATATAACTACAAATCAGCACTCATAGCATCCTTCTTTGGAGAACTCTTAATAATTTGTTACTATATGAGCCAACGTTGAATTTGGAAATGAGGCCATTTGTGTGCCTTTGAGGTACAATATGGAGGGACTCTGGGAAGATCCAGTGAGGAACTTTATAATAGATAAATTTTATTAATCTAATCAGGGGTGTAACATGGGTTGTAGACTTAGTGGGCAGAGAGGCTACTGATAAAGGGAAAAGATCACGGGACGTAAGAATAGGAAGCCACAGGAGTGACTTTGGACAGCTTATTCCTTTAATGCATTTGTTCAGTCTTGTTTTGACTATTGGATGTTGAACAAGTGGGGTACAGTCTCTGCCTGCAGCTTGGCAGGAAGTTTGGACAGGCAAGCATAGGCAACTGCAGTTTAGTCTGCAATAAGCGTTTATGAAGGTTGTATGGAAGTTTCTATTTGCAGAGGTAAAAGAAGGGAAGTAATTCCAAACGTACCCAGCTATTGTCCTTGTTCACCCTGAAATTTGAGATTTAAAACCAGCTGGTCTCATCTTGCAGTCCACTCTCTGTTAGAAGTTCAATTCCAGGTCAGAAGGTTGGGGAGTTACGTTCTTACAGTCCCTCCTGGCACATAATCCCAGTTTGTAAAGAACATTCGGTCTCACCTGGATATCACCCATGGCTGTTATTCTCTTCTTTTGGCTCCATGCCAATTGGACATAGAAATAAGCCCCTTTACTATGATTTTTTCCCCCAGCACCAATCCCTCAAGACATTGTGGGTGAGCAGATTCATTGAAGGAAAGAAATACTGAATGGTTTTACATCACCATGAAACCCTACCCAAGCCTCCCACCATATTTATTACAGTTTTTAATTCCCGGCTGATTTCCATCCCTTTTTTTTTTTTTTTTTAATCTTGTAGTGCTATTTAGCTCTTGATTGCTTCAAGAGTCTGGGGCTACCTTGCACATCCAAATATCATTATTGCATTATTGTATTCTGTCAAACTAAGAGCCACCCACTCCACCTAAGGTAAACGAGAGCACAGTGTTACTCTTCTCTTTCTCCTCTTTCAGCAATCTCTGTGATGGAGATGGGAGCAATATAGGCATTTATTTTCTCACTAATAGGTTATATATTTGGTGTTGAGCCCCAGCCTTGGAAAGCAGACGCTGTAAGCAGGTTTCATTTTATGTAATACAGTTGACTTTTGAACAACATGAGTTTGAACTGCGTGGGTCCATGTACATGCAATTTTTTTCCAATAAGTATATGGGGACATTTGGGAGGGGAAATTTTCAACAAATTGAAAATTTTTTCAGATGAATTCCATAGCCTAGAAATATTGAAAAAAAATTAAGAAAAACCTAGGTGTGTCATAAATGCATAAAATATATGAAGCTACTAGTTTTTTGATAATTTACTATTATAAAAGAGACACAAATCGATTGTAAAAAGTAAAAATTTATCAAAACTTATGCATGTATTTATAGACTGTACATGGTGCTATCTGCCATAGGCAGTGAAGAGAAATGTAAATACGTGTAAAGATGCAGTATTAAATTATAACTGCATAAAATTAATTGTAGCACATACTATACTGCTGTAATAATTTTGTAGCTGCTTCCTGTTGCTATTGAAGTGAGCTCAAGTGTTACAAAATCCCCTTAAAATGCCACCTGACAATAATCATCTCCATGTAAGCGGCTCCAGTAAATTGCACATTACAGTAAGAAGTAATCTCTCATGGTTGTTAAGTATTCTTTATCACATTTAGTGTGATACCATAAACCTTGAATAACACCAGAGGACTCACATAAAGTGCCACTGGTGATGCTGGAGGCACTTCCAAGAAGCAGAGAGAAGTCATGACTTTATAAAAAAAAGTTGAATTGCTTGATATGTGTCATAGGTTGAGGTCTACAAATGCAGTTACCCACTATTTCTAGATAAATGAGTCAGTTTAAGGACTATTGTTAAAAAAAGAAAAAGGAAAAGGAAATTTGTGAAGCTGTTGTTGCAGACATGAAAACCTCATACTTTTTATGAAATACCTTTTTATCTTATATTGAAAATGCAACTTTTATGTGGGTGCAGGATTGTTATCAGAAAGGCATTCCTATAAACGCTAATATAATTAAAGAATAAGAGAAGTCATTATATGACAACTTAAAGCAAAAGGAATGTGAAGGATTTAAAGCTAGAGAATTTAATGCCAGCAAAGGATGGTTTAATAAGTTTAGAAAGTGGTATGGCTTAAAAAATGTCAAGATAACAGAAGCAGCATTTCTGCCGGTTAAGAGACATCAGGTGAGATCCCAGATACCATTAAGAAAATCACTGAGAATATCTGCTTGAAAAGGTTTTTAGCAGGGATAAAAGTGCCCTATTCTGGAAAAAAAAAAAATGTGCCATAAAGAAAGAAAGAGAAGGGACTGTTAGGATTTAGAACAGGAAGGGATAGGCTAACTCTACTGTTCTGGGCAAAAGCAGTTGGGTTTATGATCAGAAATGCCCTTATCTATAAAGCTGCTAACCCCTGAGCCTTGAAGAGAAAAGATAAACACCAGCTACCAGTCTTTTGGATGTATAAGAATAAGGCTTTGACAACAAGAACCTTTTTTTCTGGATTAGTTCCATTAGCATTTTGTCCCTTGCTAGTAAGACACAGCATTTTAAATTTCTTTTGATATTAGACAAAGCCCCTGGCCACCCAGAACCCCATTTCAATACTGAAGACATTGAAGTTATCTACTTGCCCCCCCCCCCCAGCAACCTCTCTAAATCCTCTAGATCGGGAGGTCATATGAACCTTTAAGGCTCATTACACATGGTACTCCATGGAAAGGATCATCAATGCTATGGAGGAAAATCTTGATAGAGCATCATGAAAATTGGTAAGGATTACACCATTGAACAGGCTATTGTTGTTTTAGAAAAGCCCTGAAAGCTGTCAAGCTTGAAACAATAAATTGCTGCTTGAGAAAATGGTGTATAGCTGCCGTGTATGACTTCACGGAATTTAGAACGAAGCCAATTGAGGAAATCATGAAAGTGATGATGGATATGGCCAAAAAAGGTGTTGGGGAGGGGTGAAGGGTTTCAAGGTATGGATCTTGACATACTAAAGAACTAATGAAGACCACACCAGAGGAATTAATAGAAGATGACCTGAGGGAGAAAATGCTTCTGAATCAGTCCTGGAAATGAAGAAGAAGTTGTAGAAGAACCAATGTCAGAAAATAAATTGACATTAGACAGTTTTCCAAAAGGGTTCTGATTATTCAAGACTGTGTTACATTGTTTATGACATGAACCCTTCTATGATACAGGCACTGAAACTAAAGCAAATGGTGGAAGAAAAATCGATTCCATATAGAAACATTTTTAAAGAAATGAAAAAGCAAAAATTCAGCTGCTGCTGATGATATGATCTCATATCTAGAAAACTCCAAAAACTTCACCAAGAGACTCCTGGAACTGATAAATAAATTCAGCAAAGTCTCATGTTACAAAATCAAAGTATACAAATCAGTAGTATTCCTGTACACCTGTAATAGTCAAGCTGAGAATCACATCAAAGACTCAATACCATCCACAATAGCTATAAAGAAAATATAATACTTAGGAATATACTTAACCAAAGACATGAAAGATCTCTACTAAAAGAGGAAAGAAAATACTGAGGAAAGAAATCACAGACAACACAAATAGAAAAACTTGTCATTCTCAGGGATTGCTAGAATCAACATTGTTAAAATGTCCATACTATCCAAAGTGATTTACAGCTTCAACGTAATCCTCATCAAAATACTAATGTCATATTTTACAGATCTAGAAAAATAATTCTATGCTCCATTTGGAATCAGAAAAGAGTCCGAATAGCCAAAGCAATCTTAAGTGAAAACAATAAATCAGGAGGCATAACAAGACCAGACTTCAAAATATACTACAAGGCTATAGTAACCAAAGCAGCATGGCATTGGGATGAAAATAGAGACATAGATGAATGGAACAGAACAGAAAACCCAGATATAAAATCATTCACATACAAACAACTGATTTTGACATAGCAGACAACAATATATACACAGGGGAAAAGAAGCCCTATTCATTAAATGGTGTAGAGAAAATTGGATAGCCACATGCAGAAAAGAAAAAGGATCCATATCTCCCTCACCATTAGAAAAAATTGATTCAAGATGGATAAAAGGGTTAAATATAAGGCATGAAAGTATAAGAATTCTCAAAGAAAATGGGAAAAAACTCTTCTAGATATCAGCCGAGGCAAAGACTTTATGAAGAATGCCCCAGTGGCAATCACAGCAACAACAACAACAACAACTAAATGGGTCTTGATTAAATTGAAAAGCTCTACACAGCTAAGGAAATCATTAACAGAGCAAATAGACAACCTACAGAATGGGAGAAAATATTTACAAACTATACATCCAATAAAGGGCTAATAACCAGAATCTACAAAGAACTCAAGCAAATCAGCAAGGAAAAAAACAACCTCAATAATAAGTAGGTAAAAGACATGAATAGAACCTTTTCAAAAGAAGACAACTGGCCAAAAAACATGAAAATACTCAACATCACTAATTATTATGCAGCCCTTAAAAAAGATGGAGACTTTACCTCTTTTATGTTTACATGGATGGAGCT